GCATGCAATACAAAGGCATGTCACATTTAATTACACGTTCACACACTAGAGCCCTAAAAAGGCAGGGACGTGTGAGAACGGTTCTAATAAGCCTTTTAAAAACTCAAAAGCATCGTTCGTGCGCAAAATAGGGAAATTCTTTGGCAGTCTTAAATAGGCAGTACAGTAGAGACAGCAAATGGAAGTTGAGAATCTACCAAAACGTTTTTTAAATTCAGATATTCTACCATATACGACCTATACTAAAAAAAACACAATAGGTTAGCAGCTCTAAAGGAAGCGTCAAGAAGGATCTTTTTCAGAAACTTCTTGACAATTATTTCTTGACTTGAACTTCCTTCGACACTAACTTGCCCCATCCATACGTATTTACCTATTTACCTTGACAGACAGACATCTGAACCAAATGTTTTCAATTTTCACTCAACAATTCGGTTCTTATATTAATTATACATATATTTATTTTGCTATAAAGAAAACAGGATAAATTGGAGAGGTAGATAACGCAAAACCTGGCAAATACTAAGCTCAAATACACCAAATCAATATCATAACACGAGACTGCCGTTCGCCCCCTATTTGTTCTCTGTGCCATGATTCATCGAATCTGCAAGCGACAGATCCCACAAATGTACAGTAGGCAGCACATCAACGTAAACACAGTTGCATCTTATGTAGTTGCCTTAAGAACGAGTTTGCGTCAAAAATGTAGTCTGATGCGCAGTTGACTGTACAGTAGTAGACAGAAATCGGACTATACATTTTTATAGCAAAATCGCACTTATTATAATTACATAAAGTACGCTACGTGTTTATCCTGATGAGCTGTTGACTGTATTTTGGTATAGAAACATGATTTCATGCTTAGAGGTTCTCTTTTGTCTAACAATTGGAGCCCCGATGACTAAGGTAAACTAAAGATGGCAGAACACTAAGCTAAACATTTGCATCTTATGTAGATGTTATAGGTGTCATTTTCCAGCAAAACCAACAAGACTGTACAATGACGTCATAACTAAGAAACCCGTAAAGTGTACAAGATCAAAACACCATGCACTTTGGGTTTTCCTTAATCCTTAGTATTTAATTTTGCTCTCGTAATTTAAAGTGCAAATAAAAAGACACATTGTGTAAAATTATTGTCTACTTTACATATTACGGTTCACGATATACATCCCGTTGATAGACAGACAACGAAGGCATTTTAATAAGGTCACGTTGGCACCCTTTAGGCAGGCACGAATCCTAAAATGTAACATAGATATTTTTACCTGCCTTTTTTTAAAAAAGCGTATAACTTGATTAAATACCATTTTCATTAAAGTATTTCATTTGCATAAAGTGTCATCTTACTGAAGAAGACGTACGTTTGTTCGATATTATTAAACACACGAGTTCCACCGAAGAATGAAACAACGATTCTCTTCACAGAATTCAATTTGTTGGTATTCCATTTCCTTCTCGATTTCACAGGCTGCACAAAGTTTATGCCAAGATTCTTCTCTTATCTAAATCTCGGAGAAGAAAATACAGAGAAGAATATGTTGTAAAATTTGCACCAACCAACCATGTCGTTTAGTACTATACTTTCGTCTAAATGATTTTCCCAGGCATTTTCGTTGCCAATTCTCTAGGGTTGTACAGTCGCGGAATGAAAAGGTTCGTCACCTTAGTGTCGGTTTTCGCTTGCACTAGGTACTGTAAGAGTCAAACCTGCCAACATAACCGTGCAAGAAACAGTGCTGCTAACATTTAAATAAATATGACGTTTGCTAACGAATAAGGTTTTGCTTGTTTATTTTTCTATCCCATCAGTGCAATGCAATGATGACATTGACCAATTGACAATAGTTTTTTTTTATTTAAAAGAAATAATAAAGGCAGGTTGAACCAACAAGGTTTTAGTTTATCAATCATAATAATCTTCTTGACAAGATAAACCGTCAAACAGCTTTGATCTGAATAATTTTGAACTTTACTGACGAACAGTTAAAGATTATTTTCTCTAACTCGAGATTATTCATATGTAACATAGTTTCAAAAGGTAATATGTGCTCGCGATTCGTTGAAGGAATCAATTTGAAAACTGACGAACCTTTTCATTCCGTGACTGTACATAATTGATTTTCTCCCTGTTTGATATCTCATGACCTTTACGTATTTTTATTTTCATTAAGACGTTCGGGTTCAGAAGTTTTAATCATGGATTGCTGGATGTATTGTACACAGAATCCTTCGTATGAAAAGTCCATGTAAAGATGCAATTAAATTTGGTCCCAAGCTACAAGAATAGGTCTGTTTCTCCTTAGTTGCCATGGAGACGATGACGTAATCGGGAAAGTCCAGGGAAATAAATCACTTGTAGAGAACACTTGTGATTTTGATGGGTGAATGTTTGATTACGTTTGTTATTGAAATGGTTCGACAGGTTTCGGAATTGACCCTAAGGCTGAGTAAGATTAGTGTCATTTTACTAATTGAAAAATATGGAAAACACCAACATGATCGTGTTGTAAGATAATTTGCTAAATAAGGCCCAATTGCTGATACATTTTGACTTTAAAAACGTCGTTTTGCGCGTAACTTTGCCCGAGTTTCATAAAGTATCGCACGTCTCTTTTAGTGACTTACTCAATAGATACGATGTACAAACGACAGCACTTCAAGCTAAATTCAGCGTCATTTATGAAGTGGTATTAGTGAAAAATTGTAAATGAAAAATATTATTTATTAATCAAATTCATAGTTAAAAAGTTGTTGTTGCAAGGAATTTGTACAGTGTGATTTGCCTTCGACTCTACAATAACACGGTTGACAACCCTAGCTTTTGGTATATAGCTTAAATGGGCTGATTTATCGGCTGAGACTAGGGGTGGGAATAGGGAACTATAAATGACTGCTCCGCGCCAACGGGCACCCTCCTTTATTGCACGAAAGCGCTGAATTTTGTCTGAGAACTCGTCCAAGTTTGCTCGTGATGACCTTAAGTGTCCTATGCAATTTTGCATACGAGTAGGTAGTTTAATTGTTTTGATCAGTGTTAGCCATTAAGGCACGTACAAAACATAGCTGAAAACAAGATTCAATTTCAAGATTTTAGAGTTTTGATTGGTTGAATTTATCACATGACAAAATCTGTGACTGAGATTGAATCGATACTAACTTCTGGATTAATTGTGAAAATTCTAAGATCTTTTCGATTGATTTCCGATTTTAATTATAATAATAACAACCGATAGAACTTATTTTTAGGTGTGCTGGAGATTATTATGGGCAAGAAGAGTCTTTTATTTTTTTACATTCTCGTAGATTAAGTTAGTGATAATGACCATTAACTGAGCCAAAAATGTATTTCAAATGCAAGGTCGTAAATCTAGGCCATTGATAACAAGTTTTATTCGAATCCGATTACGATTCCATATTGATTTTACAATAAACGTCACACCAAACCAAATCTTGTGATTTATACGTTCACACGTTCCAATTGTTTGATCAGATATACAGTTATGTAGAAAGAAAGAAGAAAATAGAAATAAAAACGCCTTTTACATAGTATACAGGAACTACATAATGTGTTGTACAGTTACTGGAAACATTGAATTTTCGGATTGATCCACTTTATTCTGTAACATATTGATACTATTTGATAGAGCTCGTGAAGCACTTTCAGGATCAGTAACCAGTTTTTCGATATCTTGTACAGTTTTGAAATAATGGAGTGAGATCATTTATCGTTTCCACCCTGTATATTGTCGTAGTTTTTCCCCGAACCTCAGGCATAGCTTCGTAATTACATGCAGATTACAATGAGGCCCAGGTAATCGTACATTACAGTGTTTTTGTTGGCTTCTCAACCGTGCAATACGCTTTTTCAGTGCTATGTGTAATAGAACAGATAATATTATTCGATTTAACGTCACGTGATACTATGTTTTGTATAATCATAGAGCTCGAAAGATTAAAATAACCGATTAAGATTAACTATTGTTAGATAATCATGTTTTTTTAAATAATCAATCATGATTATCTAACGATAAGTTAATCGTTGTAATAAGAATCAGTTTTACGCTTCCTCTTTCTACGAATAATAACTCTTTACTTGATGACTACCTAATTAATTGTGTCTTTTTTTGGCTCGACTAAAATTTAGAACGATTTTCATGTTCACATAGTCTTGTACGAGGGCTTTTTATAAAGAAAAAAAGGGACTTCTTACGAGGATTTCTAATAAAGAATCACAGACAGATAAAAGAAAAGTGCATAAAAAGGTTCACTTCGTTTTAAATTAGTTTTAAAGGATCAAAAGTGAATGGAGATAGATTCACACGGCATTTAATTCAATTCAAATTCCGTACCCGACGGTAAAGGCAAAAACGAGGCGATTCAAACTTGTAACATCTTGGAACTCTATCTGAGTGATGATGGCATTAGAAATCAAATGTGTGAAATGGTAATGAATGCAATCATGGTTGAATGCCCCTGTCTGTGTTTACTGATTGATGTGCTAAAGAAAGTAATCTCAATCCAATGACGGCACAAAATAAAGAACTCTCAAACGTTTGTGTTGAGATTCAGCAATTTTTTATCAATAGGTCAATCCATCATTTCGAAATTTCCTTTCGGCGTTCTTTTACATCTCAATTTAGTCCGTGTTCCAATATTAGAGAATTTAATTCGCGCAAAATAATAACAATCAATCATATCGAAACATGGGTGTTCCTGATAAATATTTATAAAAATGTAGTATATGACATATTATCTAATCTACGAGTACTCGACATGGAAATACACTCGATTCTGATATTTTTATATTTTTGTATATCAGTGAACAGCATTGTCTTGCTAGCATCACGTGTTTAACAACATAGATGTATAGTTAAGAATAACTTGTGTTAAATCTCAAGAAACTATACTTTGCGCATAGTTTTCTCCGAGAAAAAATATTTTAGGGAATATTTGTGTTATAATTTATTAACATGGCAATTTTGGACACTTTTCAGTTGACAAGTCAAGTCGAGAAGTTGGCACAAGTCAGCCGAGACCTCCGACGTAAACACAAGCAGCTACAAAATCAGGTAATGCCCAAAACCTACTTTTGATTCATAACAAGTTTGTTTAACGAAAGAAATAAATTGACTATGAAAATGTGCAATTTTGTGCTAACAATATCATGCAACTTCTATGAAAGAAATGGGTAGATCTGATACGGAACCTTCTGCTCCCAAACTTACCGATGTTAGTTTGGGAGCAGAAGGTTCCGTAGTTTCCGAGTGAGCCATAGTTCCAGCTACCCATTTCCGTTTTTTCTCTCGCTCTCACATTCATCGCTCGCGGTTCTTTGCGATATAACGAGACGATATGACCGGAAAGGGATAGCTGAAAGTGTGGTCCATAATACACGTTCATAGGGGCTTGCATATCTTGAGATATTAAGATCAAAGATGCAAGCGCTGCNACAAAATCTGTGAATGAGATTGAATCGATACTTCTGGATTAATTGTAAAGATTCTAAGATCTTTTCGATTGATTCCCGATTTTAATTATAATAATAACAACCGATAGAACTTATTTTTAGGTGTTCTGGAGATTATAATGGGCAAATAAAAAGAGTCTTTTATTTTTTTACATTCTCGTAGATCAAGTTAGTGATAACACAGTAGATATATGAGCTAAAGCAGTACGGAAACTTAGCCCTTTCGGNATAGTTCCAGCTACCCATTTCCGTTTTTTCTCTCGCTCTCACATTCATCGCTCGCGGTTCTTTGCGATATAACGAGACGATATGACCGGAAAGGGATAGCTGAAAGTGTGGTCCATAATACACGTTCATAGGGGCTTGCATATCTTGAGATATTAAGATCAAAGATGCAAGCGCTGCGATAATTCGATTCGGTCATCATTGAGAATTCAAAACTAGCATGAATAAAACCTCTGTTTTAAACTTGATCTATCCGCTAAAATGTAGGTTCTGAATTAACTCAATTCGATTGATAGCCATTATCCATTATTAGAACACTAATTAGCAAATAGATAATCTAAATTCCTAATCCTAAAAAATCTATTTTCATCTCTCATTACGAAAAGACACTAAAACCCTGTTTGATTTCATTCTAGCTTAAGGTTTTTTTGGATGCATTTCAATATTCAGATCAGAATAGAATCAAATTCTGATTAGTCAGTGGTTCTTAGTGTCGTTACGTAATATGGGCATTAAATCTGTGTGCATTTTGTCACGACCATGCTTTCTAAATAACGTAGACTCTTCAGACCTCATCAGTTACGTGCTAATGCATAAACCATTTGCATACAGATGCGCTTAGTATGCGAGGAGCGCTCGGAACTTACGGCCATAGTGCAGTCCCAGCAACGGGACATCGCCACACTACAGCAGGTCAATGTACAGAACCAGGTAAGGTCATCTTCATTCATCATTATGGATCTAACGCCTAAGTTCTAACTGAGTTAAGAGCGTTTACACCGTTTGGCGCAAAAACAGTACTTTTTCAACCCGTTACAATCATTAACCAGTTACATTATAAATATGTTATAGGCATAAATAATTAGGCAATTTCGTCGTCTAAATAGTTAGTTGAGAAAATATTTCGATTAGTATAGTATTTAAGAATTCTATCAAGATAAGACTACACAGGTTTTCAAATTTCCACTTTAGCGTCAGTTCACAAGCTGAAATTTGTATAAAATACTGTGAAAACGATATAACAAACATTTATATCCTATAGCATAGGTCCTTATGCAAATAGTTAGTTGAGAAAATTATTAGATTTAAGCATTTTACAATAAGAAATCACAAATTCAAAGATCGTGAAATACCCAAAAATCAAAGTGATTTTTACACCATTATTCTTTAATTCAACATAAAAATAGTTTAATATAATAAAATAACATCTTCTTTAAAATATTTACTTTAAAACGATATATAATTCATTGTTATTGTTTTGCTATAAACATTTGAAAACTATTAAAAAACGCCGCGCGCGAATCATTTCCAATGATGCCCCTTCTAACGCCGCGCTTCGCGTAAACGCTCTTAACGCCTGAGGCATGGGAGCAGCACGGGAGGGTGCTTTTGTGATGGACAAATGTCAGCGAGACCTCGGATCTTCTTCAGTGGGCTGAGTGTGAGTTTACATTTAACATAAGTTATTAAAAAAATATATGAAAATTTTGGTTTTTGAACTTTTCCCGCTAGGGGCGCTGTACTATCCGTCATACAATTAATGTCATTTATTGACGCGCTCAGCGCGTTTGATGAAAACTCACATTAGGCGCTCAGATTCAGATTTGTATGCTCTGTCACGTCATAATATTATGTCAATGTCACCCCTCCAGTGCCGCTTCCATTCCTCAGGCAATGATTCCGTTAAGCGCTTTACCTTAGTTTAGTGACGTACGATCTCTCTCTCTCTTTTGTGTTCTGCCTTATTCATAAAAAATAAGCATCTTATACAATAGGTTACTTTAGCCCTAAAATGTGTCACTTTCTGTAAAATGTCGATTTTGCTGTGATGAACATCGACAACAATGTTTAAATTTAAAGGGTGTTATAAAAGTTTTTATGACTGAGGGGTGAAATGTGTGAAATGTCATTGCTTTACCCTCATTACATTGAATGTTGCTATGTTATATTGTTTGTGTATGTGTTTTTGCAACAAAAAATACTTTTTCCTTCTTCCTAATCAATCCCTCAAACAAGATTGTTATTAACGTGGATACTCTGGAAGATATTTTGCATTGAAGCTACAGAATTATACCCAAGGTGTGAACGGGCTACTTAACGGCCGCCCTAAACCTACTCGGCGTTAACCTTTTACGGCTGTTTGGTCCCCACAGACCTACCCTCGTTTTTCTCATTTGAGCTTACGGTCGATACGTAGTCATAAAACGGTGTAGTCCACAATAGAAAATGAAAATTTTGACAATATTTACTTAATGATAAAAATCGGCTTACATTCAGCTTAAACTTTCTCAGTGCGTTAAAAGAATAAAAAAAAAATTATATATAAAAAACGATCCTAAGATAGGTATTTTGTCCCCCTTCAATAAAAAGGAGCCTTATATACCGCCCTCTAGCGATTACGAGACTAGGTAGCGTTTATTTATTATTGTTACGTGGTCCAAAGATGAGCCTACATATCCCTCCCAATAATTTATCACCACATAGGCTTAGAAATATTGATTCAAAAGAATTAGCTTCAAATTACAGAAGTGCTAAACCCCCATAAACACACAGTTTATTAAAAATCTCTGTCCTCCATTTCCAGAAGTGCAAAACATGCGGTGCGCCCACTCCTGACGGTGGCGATGAGACAGATCAAGCGTCTAACCGGACCTTTAGCGAGCACGAGCTGCTGGCCATACTGCAGGAAAGGAACGAGCTCAAGCTGAAGCTCAACCGGGCTGAAGAGCAGCTGCAGGCGCTGCAGGTGGAGCCACAACAAGACAGGTTAGTTAAAGATGTACGAGTTCAATTATTGCAAGTGTTGTTGCAACTACTGCAGTAGAAATAAGCTTAATCTGAAGAGCAGATGAAGGCGTTTTAGATAAAAAAAACCACAACAATATAAGTAGGTATAGCCTGACCAGGAACATAAAAACCCTGGCATAGTGGCGCGTCAATTGCATTTGATAGTGCAACACTGAGTACAGTCGTATAGATGACCCACGCTGAACTGTCCCGCCAAACTCAATGACAGGGGGGCGCTACCATCGTTCAACTATATGGTTTCCAACATGGCAAAAATCTGAACCAGCGATCCGGTATTGACGGTGGCGCCCCACTGTCAATGTCATCGACAGGACAGTCCAGTATTTTGGAACTATANAGCCATAGTTCCAGCTACCCATTTCCGTTTTTTCTCTCGCTCTCACATTCATCGCTCGCGGTTCTTTGCGATATAACGAGACGATATGACCGGAAAGGGGTAGCTGAAAGTGTGGTCCATAATACACGTTCATAGGGGCTTGCATATCTTGAGATATTAAGATCAAAGATGCAAGCGCTGCGATAATTTGATTCGGTCATCATTGAGAATTCAAAACTAGCATGAATAAAACCTCTGTTTTAAACTTGATCTATCCGCTAAAATGTAGGTTCTGAATTAACTCAATTCGATTGATAGCCATTATCCATTATTAGAACACTAATTAGCAAATAGATAATCTAAATTCCTAATTCTAAAAAATCTATTTTCATCTCTCATTACGAAAAGACACTAAAACCCTGTTTGATTTCATTCTAGCTTAAGGTTTTTTTGGATGCATTTCAATATTCAGATCAGAATAGAATCAAATTCTGATTAGTCAGTGGTTCTTAGTGTCGTTACGTAATATGGGCATTAAATCTGTGTGCATTTTGTCACGACCATGCTTTCTAAATGTAGAGACTTCAAACCTCATCAGTTACGTGCTAATGCATAAACCATTTGCATACAGATGCGCTTAGTATGCGAGGAGCGCTCGGAACTTACGGCCATAGTGCAGTCCCAGCAACGGGACATCGCCACACTACAGCAGGTCAATGTACAGAACCAGGTAAGGTCATCTTCATTCATCATTATAGATCTAACGCCTAAGTTTTAACTGAGTTAACGCCTGAGGTATGGAAGCAGTACGGGAGGGTGCTTTTGTGATGGACAAATGTCAGCGAGACCTCGGATCTCCTTCAGTGGGCTGAGTGTGAGTTTACATTTAACATAAGTTATTAAAAAATGTATGAAAATTTTAGTTTTTGAACGTTTCCCGCTAGGGGCGCTGTACAATCCGTCATACAATTAATGTCATTTATTGACGCGCTCAGCGCGCTTGATGAAAACTCACATTAGGCGCTCAGATTCAGATTTGTATGCTCTGTCACGTTATAAAGTATGTCAATGTCATCCCTCCAGTGTCGCTTCCATTCCTCAGGCAATGATTCCGTTAAGCGCTATACCTTTGTTTAGTGACGTACGATCTTTCTCTCTTTTGTGTTCTGCCTTATTTATAAAAAATAAGCATCTCTATACAATAGGTTACTTTAGCCATAAAATGTGTCACTTTCTGTGTCTGCGTCTCTGTGTTTTATAAGTTTTTATGACTGAGGGGTCAAATGTGTGAACTGTCATTGCTTTACCCTTGCCAAATTCATTACATTGAATGTTGCTATGTTATATTGTTTGTGTATGTGTTTTTGCAACAATAAATACTTCTTCCTTCTTCCTAATCAATCCCTCAAACAAGATTGTTATTAACGTGGATACTCTGGAAGATATTTTGCGTTGAAACTAATTTCACAGAATTATACCCAAGGTGTGAACGGGTTACTTAACGGCCTCCCTAAACCTACTCAGCGTTAACTTTTTACGGCTGTTTGGTCTCCACGGGCCAACCCTCGTTTTTCTCATTTGGGCTTACGGTCGATACTTAGTCATAAAACGGCACAGTCTACAATAAAAATTGCCTTTTTTTTGTAAATGCTTAATGATGAAAATCGACTCTCAGTGTCCTAAAAGAATAAAACTCAATTTTTAATTATAATAAAAAACTATCTTGTTTTTTGTCCCCCATTCAATAAAAAAGAGCCTCTCTCATATACCGCCCTCTAGCGATTACGAGACTTGGTAGCATTTTTTATTATTGTTTATGGTCCATAGATGAGCCTACATACCCCTCCCATTAATTGGCTTCCAATTACAGAAGTGCTAAACCCCCATAAACACACAGTTTATTCAAAATCTCTGTCCTCCATTTTCAGAAGTGCAAAACATGCGGTGCGCCCACTCCGGACGGTGGTGATGAGACAGATCAAGCGTCTAACCGGACCTTTAGCGAGCACGAGCTCCTGGCCATACTGCAGGAGAGGAACGAGCTCAAGCTGAAGCTCAACCGCGCCGAGGAGCAGCTGCAGGCGTTGCAGGTGGAGCCACAACAAGACAGGTTAGTTGTAAATTGAACCGTAATAATATAGGTATATGGTCTATTTGACTACTGGACGGAGGTGATGAAAGACTAGGACTCGAACTGATCCTTCAGCGAGCACGAGCTGCTGACCATACTGCAGGAGAGGAACGAGCTCAAGCTGAAGCTCAACCGGGCCGAGGAGCAGCTGCAGGCGCTGCAGGTGGAGCCACAACAAGACAGGTTAGTTGCAAATCGAACCATAACAGTGTAAATATATGATCTATTTGACTACTGGACGGAGGCGATGATAGACTAGGACTCGAACTGATCCTTCAGCGAGCACGAGCTGCTGGCCATACTGCAGGAGAGGAACGAGCTCAAGCTGAAGCTCAACCGGGCCGAGGAGCAGCTGCAGGCGCTGCAGGTGGAGCCACAACAAGACAGGTAAGTCAATAAGTTCTGTTGTAAATTGAACCATAATAATGTAGGTATATGGTCTATTTGACTACTGGGCGGAGACGATGAAAGACTAGGACTCGAACTGATCCTTCAGCGAGCACGAGCTGCTGGCCATACTGCAGGAGAGGAACGAACTCAAGCTGAAGCTAAACCGAGCTGAAAAGTAGTTGCGGGTGGAGCCTCAACAAGACAGGTTAGTCAATAAGCTCTGTTATAAATTGAACCATAATAATGTAGGTATAGGGTCTATTTGACTACTAGACGCAGGTGATGAAAGACTAGGACTCGAACTGATCCTTCAGCGAGCATGAGCTGCTGGCCATACTGCAGGAGAGGAACGAGCTCAAGCTGAAGCTCAACCGGGCCGAGGAGCAGCTGCAGGCGCTGCAGGTGGAGCCACAACAAGACAGGTTAGTTGTAAATTGAACCATAATAATGTAGGCATATGGTCTATTTGACTACTGGACGGAGGCGATGATAGACTAGGACTCGAACTGATCCTTCAGCGAGCACGAGCTGCTGGCCATACTGCAGGAGAGGAACGAGCTCAAGTTGAAGCTAAACCGAGCTGAAAAGTGGTTGCGGGTGGAGCCTCAACAAGACAGGTTAGTCAATAAGTTCTGTTGTAAGTTAAACCATAATTATGCAGGTATATGGTCTATTTGACTACTGGACGGAGACGATGAAAGACTAGGACTCGAACTGATCCTTCAGCGAGCACGAGCTGCTGGCCATACTGCAGGAGAGGAACGAGCTCAAGCTGAAGCTAAACCGAGCTGAAAAGTAGTTGCGGGTGGAGCCTCAACAGAACAGGTTAGTCAATATGTTCTGTTGAAGATTGAACCATAATAATGCAGGTATATGGTCTATTTCACTACACTACGGACGGAGGCGATTTCATTGGGCTCCGGCGAATACCGTAGGTTTTAGTAGGTAGGTCCCATCCCTTCTAGCGGAGACAGCTCCACATAACCGTCCCTTCGGCTGGTGGGCTTACAACTTTATGCATTTCCCGACACAAATAAGCTATACGAGTTCAGAAGATAACGAACCAAAATAATGTAGGCATAAAATGGACAGTCGTTCCAATAAAATAAAACAGGTGTTCCTCAGGGGAGTATTCTGGGGCCTTTGTTGATCCTTTTATATTTCAATGAATTGCCTAAGGCTGATGTCATCAGGTCACCTATAAACGCCATTGGCCGCTTGCAATGTCACTGTACGTCACGTTAAGCTGCTATAAAACGTACGGTTGTTCATATGCTGAAATCGGTGCATAAACACTAAAAAGTGTTTTTGTTTTGTTGCAAAAATCCCGTGAAGGTGATAATTTTATAGTAAACTAGCTGACCCGGCGAACTTTGTTCCGCCTTAATGGCAATAAATAAGCAGACTTTTTTTTTAATTTCGAACGGGATAAAAAGTATCCTATGTCCTTCTCCTGGCTCTAAACTACCTCCCTGACAATTTTCAGCTAAATCGGTTCAGCCGTTCTTGAGTTATAAGCGAAGTAACTAACACGACTTTCTTTTATATACAGGGTGTCCCGTAATGTAACGTCAAGCCGGAACTGGGTGTTGAGGCAAGTTGTGCTGGTTATCAGAAAAATATAAAAAAAATCTATGTGGCATATTTTAAAAATAATAGGCATTTAAAAAAAATCAAACAATTTTACTCCAGGTGACGGTCCTTTTGCTCGTGTTGCCACAAATCTTCACTTTTTCCAAATTTTTTTTTTGTTATGTAACCCTGAATAATGCTTCTCTAAATTGTTATCAAAATTACAAAACCAGCTGCTCCAGCTTGGATGAAAAAAATAAATTTTACCAAAAAAAATTTCAAAATAAAAATTTTGCCTAGTTTAAACTGACTGTACTGAAAAAAAAATGTACTACGCGAGTGTGGCAAGTGACGTCATAATTTGGCGCATTTAATAAGGATTCCAAAATGGTATGGTATGGTAAATACATTTTTTGGGAATAATGTATTTTTTTCATCCAAGCTGGAGCAGCTGGTTTTGTAATTTTGATAACAATTTAGAGAAGCATTATTCAGGGTTACATAACAAAAAAAAAATTTGGAAAAAGTGAAGATTTGTGGCAACACGAGTAAAAGGACCGTCACCTGGAGTAGAATTTTTTGATTTTTTTTAAATGCCTATTATTTTTAAAATATGCCACATAGATTTTTTTTTATATTTTTCTGATAACCAGCACAACTTGCCTCAACACCCAGTTCCGGTTTGACGTTACATTACGGGACACCCTGTATATAGAAATGCAACACAATAGTTTAAAATACAATATAAAGATGTCTATCAACAGTTCAATCGTTTACGTTGTAACAGCACGTCATGTATGTCTAACGACTAGTTTGTAAAACTGATCTAGCAAGTTTCATGTTGCAGAACTGAATGGGACATAATAGACGATGTATTTTCTAGTACTTGTGTCTAATATCTCAATGATATTCTGTTGCAGCGGCTCAGACACGTCTCCCTCCATGAGCACGGTGGCCAGTACAGCGGAGGAAGACGAGGCACCAGTCCAGGGTCCGCTACCGGCCGAACCAGACGACGCCCCGTGGAAGAGAAACAGCGGGATTAGGAAGTTGTAAGTATACGCTATGGTCTATGGTGATATTGGAGGTGGTTGTGGAGGGATTTGGAATTCTGTTATAAGCCTTGATCACACGTACCGAGTAAACGGGCGAGACAGTAAAATGTTTACTCGGTCGAGACAGTTGGGTGAGCGTGTCTCATACTCAAACGCTCGGCCGAGCACTCGGCGTGATGTTCATACACACCGAGTACTCGGCCGAGAGCACTGTCTCGCCCGTTTGCTCGGTACGTGTGATCAAGGCATTAGAGTTATAGATGACCTTGTAAATATTAAAATTTGCCGGAGCAAAATAAAAGAATTAAATATTTAAATTGACAACAATTTAATTGTGGGTTAGACACAAATATTTAAAAAGAAAAATTAAGGGATGGGTCGTTGGGCCGTTTGNTATATATCTAACATAGCTTAGATGTACCAGAATAATGTAGGCATAAAATGGACAGTTGTTTCGACAAAATAAAACGGTTTACCTTAGGGGAGCATTCTGGGACCTTTATTGTTCCTTTTACATTTCAATTATTTTTTTTAAATAGTCGAGTAGCGGTGGGATTCGAACCCGCGTTCCTCGGATCTCGAGTCGGCCACTCCGACCCCTTCACCGTTCGGCTATCGTGGCTTAAGGCTGAGGTCATCAGGTCACTTATAAACGGGATTGTACGTTTACAATGTCACTCCGTATGTCACGTGAAGCTGCTATAGAAACGTACAGTTGTTCATATGCTGACGTCAGCGCATGGACAATATAAAGATGTCGATCAGAACGCTTACGTTGTAACAGGATGTCGTGAATGTCGAATGACTCGTTTATCTTGCACGTTACGTCATATTGCAGAACTGAATGGGATATGATGAGTAGTAATAGGCGATGTAAAGTGCCCCATAAGGGCTACCTTTTCTTTTTTATTATTTACTATATTTTGACGTTCATAAGTGCCACTTGTGGTTTAAACTGAATAAATATTTTTGATATTGATTTTGATGTATTTTCTAGTACTTGTGCTTAATATCTCAATGATATTCTGTTGCAGCGGCTCAGACACGTCTCCCTCCATGAGTACGGTGGCCAGTACAGCGGAGGAGGACGAGGCACCAGTCCAAGGTCCGTTACCGGCCGAGCCAGATGACGCCCCGTGGAAGAGAAACAGCGGGATTAGGAAGTTGTGAGTATATGCTATGGTCTATGGTGATATTAGTGATATTAGAGGTGGTTGTGGAGGGATTTGGAATTCTGTTATAAGCCTTGATCACACGTACCGAGTAAACGGGCGAGACAGTAAAATGTTTACTCGGTCGAGACAGTTGGGTGAGCGAGTCTCATACCCGAGCGCTCGGCCGAGCACTCGGCGTAATGTTCATACACACCGAGTATTCGCCGAGAGCACTGTCTCGCCCGTTTGCTCGGTACGTGTGATCAAGGCATTAGAGTTATAGATGACCTACCTACAGAACTGTCACACCAAACTCATTGACATGGGGGAGCCATCATCGTTCAACCATAGTGTTTCCAACATGGCAAAAATCGGAACCAGCGATCCGGCATTGACGGTGGCGCCCCCCTGTCAATGTCACGACGGTGGCGCCCCCCTGTCAATGTCACGGGTGAGACAGTTCAGTGTATTGGGTCTATATCACGTTGACTTGTCGCAGTGACTTTTTTGTCACTCGTATCGATATTGAATTCACCCGGTTATCATGTCGTAGTGTGTCTTCATTGCCTTGATATGAGTGACAAGACAGGTACTCGTGACATAAATTACCGGTGCATGCTAGCCCTTACTTACTATAAAGGTGGATGGCATATTATGTTGTTTAGTTGTTTCTGTTTTTTTACTATTTTATAGATAAAGAGAGAGGTTTTTGTTACAAGAAGTACAGTTTAATTTGCATTAGAAATATTTCCTGAAGCATGAATATTGTAATTATAATGTATAAAGAGATATGATGGAACTTTTCCGCGATTTCGCTATATTTTATGTAAAACTACTTTGGCTGCCATGCTTTGGTTGCTACTTGGTGGCGGATTTATTTTAGGGTTACTCTTCTAATTTTTTTTTCGCAATATATTATAACAATGAAACTGAAAAAATATTTAATCTTATAATAAATTCTTTGTAAATATAAATATGACGTATTCGTTTGCATGCTATAGAATTTACTTTCTTAGCGCTTATTTTGTATAGTTGTAAAAATTGTTGCATGTTGTATATATTTATTCTTTCACATGATCACTCATTTTGATTACATATCTGTGTGTCACACATACATTTCATACACTTTTACTTTATTTGGTTCTGGTACATTATTTCGTTTTTGGTTTTTATTCATTTGGGCAGTAGAAAATACGCATGAGATTATTTATTTGAACTAGATAAGTGTGAAAATTAATGCATAAGATTATCAGTTTTTCAAATATATCGAATTAAATGGCAGTAAATATTTATTGCTATTAGAATATCCAATAATAATATTAATTCAGTTACTGAAGATGAAAACTTAATTGACCCCATAAACAAATTCTATATTTCTGATTAATGCAATAAAATAACTCATTTCCGAATGTTACTTTTACAAAAGTTAGTCAAGCTGAATTTGCGGTGCTTCATAACATATTGTTTTCGTATATTCGGATCTACCCATACTTCTCACTGACAGCGAGATGCCGGCATTAGCGAAAGAGATGGATAGATTTGAATATACGGGAATGACTTAGAATTAACCCCAGTTAGAAACTTAGATTTGACTTTATCTGTAATATAAATTCTTTCATCTATCACATTGTATTTTATTTTTACTGTCCATTTAATTCGATATTTTTAAAGACAAGGGGTGACCAACATTTTGCGGTGTTCAAAATTATTTTATCTTTTATAGGTGGTTATTTTATAATGGAAAATGAGACCAGGGCCGAAAGAGATCATTTTTACACGGACAGCGCACGGCACGTTGCATGAACGGTCCATATTATAGTCACTACGACGACGCTTTTTGCTTCACTACCCTCCTTTATCCTGATCCTACTATATTGTTAATTTATATTATATCTATGTGTAGCACTTACCATCGGTTTTCATTGATAAATAACTCATATCATTCTAGCACAAGAAAGTTTTTATTACCAAAATAAATGTAAATGCTAGACGCATTTATTTTGTCACTTTTTTAATAACAATCAATGTGCTGTGTTTTTATATCTCGTTGTTCAAAGGTTTCTATGTACAGTTGCAGTTTAATCTTTGGATATTTTCTGCTCACTGCTTACCGAAAATATCCATTCTTACAGCATATCAACATTTGACAGTTGATTACATTATAAGTGATGCTGATATCATCACGCTAAAACAGTTTAACACTGTAATATACAAAACATGAAACTAAAAATGTTGTCAACCACTAATTAAGTAAACTTTAGTAAACACAAAGGCTTTTTAATCAAGAACCAGTCTCATATGCAGATTTTTTTTACTGGTGATAAGGAAGAAATCCTGTAAGTCTATAGAATAGAGCATTTCAATTAGAGTTTGGAAATCAACAAAAAAACGTTTGAAACTAAAGTTATAGCAAAAATGCTGAATCTGAGGTCACAGCCTTAACACAGTCAAAGAGGCCGCTCATCAGAACATAGGCTTGAAAATCACCTAATTTTTATAATTTAACTTGTTTACTCTTATGTTTATGTCCCCTCCCCATTTAGTTNAATCAAAACTCAGTGAATCACTTACAATGACACAATCAAGTGACAAAGGGAATACGGTACACTTTGTAATATGTGACCTTACGGTCCGTTGGAATGTTTGTTTGTGGAAATCGGTAAGTATTCAATCTCGCCAAGAAAAAAAAGTGTTACAACCTACCTACAGAACTGTCACACCAAACTCATTGACATGGGGGAGCCATCATCGTTCAACCATAGAGTTTCCAACATGGAAAAAATCGGAACCAGCGATCTGGTATTGACGGTAGCGCCCCCCTGTCAATGTCACGGGTGGGACATTTCAGTGTATTGGTTTTATATCGCGTTGACTTGTCGCAGTGACTTTTTTGTCACTCGTATCGATTATTTATTAGTTTCAACCGGTTATCATGTTGTAGTGTGCCTTCATAGTCTTGATATGAGTGACAAAACAGGTACTTGTGACATAAATTACCGGTGCATGCTAGCCCTTACATACTATAAAGGTGGATGGTATAATGTTGTTTCGATGTTTATGTTTCTGCTTTTTACTGTTTTGTTAGAAGATACAGGTTTTTGTTACAAGAAATATGTTCATGAAGCATGGATATTTGAATTCTAATTATATTGAATGTATTTAAAGGGTTATAATGGAACTATTTCTGCTATTTTGGCTATATTTAACTACATAAAAATAAATACTTTGGCCATCATGCTTTGGTTACTATTTGGTGACGGATTTATTATCTAATGTTCTTAAAGGATACATCTTGTCTATGAAACTGAAATATATTATTTAGTTGTATAATATTACATTATTTGTAAATATAAATAATATGTTTTCATTTTGCATGCTATAGAATTTACTTACTTTCTTTGGCGCTATTTTTATAGTTATGTTGTAAAAATGGTTGTTGTTGCATGTTGTATTGTTTATTTATTCTTTCACATGATCACTCATTTTGATTACATACACAGGTATGTAATCTTTATGTCACACATACATTTCATACACTTTTACTTTATTTGGTTCTGGTACATTATTTCGTTTTTTGGTTTTATTCATTTGGGCAGTAGAAAATACGCATGAGATTATTTATTTCAACTAGATAAGTGTGAAAATTAATGCATAAAATTATCAGTTTTTCAAATATATCGAATTAAATGGAGCTAAATATATTTTGCTATTTAATCTCTAATAATAATAACAGAAGTTGAATACAGTAATACTAAAGATAAAGACTTAATTGACCTTATAAACTAAATCACACAATAAATTTAATTCTGATTATTGCAATAAAATACTCATTTCTGAATGTTACTTTTACAAAATTCGTCTAGCCGAATTTGCGGTACTTCAAAACGTTGTTTTCGTACATTCGGATCTGTCCATCCTTCTCATTCACAGAGAGATGCCGGCATGAGCGAAAGAGATGGGTAGATTTGAATATACGGGAACGACTTAGAATTAACCCCAGTTAGAAACTTACATTAGAATTTAACTGTAACTTAAATTCTTTCATCATTCACGTTGTATTTTATTTTTACTGTCCATTTAATTCGATATTTTGAAAGACAAGGGGTGACCAACATTTTTCGGTGTTCAAAATTATTTTATCTTTTATAGGTGGTTATTTTATAATGGAAAATGAGACCAGGGCCGAAAGAGATCATTTTTACACGGACAGCGCACGGCACGTTGCATGAACGGTCCATTATAGTCAATACGACGACGCTTTTTGCTTCACTACCCTCCTTTATCCCGATCCTACTATATTATTAATTTATATTATATCTATGTGTAGCACTTACCATCGGTTTTCATTGATAAATAACTCATATAATTTATAGCACAAGAAAGTTTTTATTACCGAAATAAATGTAAATGCTAGACGCATTTCTATTGTCACTTTTTTAATAACAATTGATGTGCTGTGTTTTTATATCTCATTGTTTAAAGGTTTCTATGTACAGTTGCAGTTTAATCTTTGGATATTTTCTGCTCACTGCTTACCGAAAATATCCATTCTTACAGCATATCAACATTTGACAGTTGATTGCATTATGTGATGCTGGTATCATCACGCTAAAACAGTTTAACACCGTAATATACAAAACATGAAATTAAAAATGTTGTCAACCACTAATTAAGTAAACTTTAGTAAACACGAAGGCTTTTTAATCAAGAACCAGTCTCATATGCAGATTTTTTTTACTGGTGATAAGGAAGAAATCCTGTAAGTCTATAGAATAGAGCATTTCAATTGGAGTTTGGAAATCAACAAAAAACGTGTGAACCTGAAGTTTTAGCAAAAATGCTGAATCTGAGGTCACAGCCTAAACACAGTCAAAGAGGCTGCTCATCAGAACAGGCTTGAAAATCACTACCTTTTTATAATTTAACTTGTTTACTCTTATGTTTATGTCCCCTCCCTATTTAGTTCCTTTATTTTGTGTTGCCCCTAACCTGTTGGTGTGGCCAGGTTCTGGTTGGCGCTGACGAGACGCGATGAGGGCCGCAGGTCGCCCCCGCCAAGGATCTCTTTCGGCCCTTGGTACTGATCGCCGCTTGCCCGGTAGGTGTATGATAGTTTAGGGCCTCCGCTAAAACTCGCGTGAACTCCGCAACACTGTTTAGTTCGGGTCTAAAGTCCGGTCGCCGAGCAGATAGAATTGCATACAATGACCCCAAGCTACCTATCCTTATCGCTCGCGCGTATAGATCGTTTCATCCACAAAGACGCGCTCCACCATTCTTCCGCTAATGTTTGAGTGTTATCGGTACATGCTAAATTATCCATGAGTGCACATGCACACTACAATAATGAGGCTCGGATTGCTCGGATCGAACTCCCCGCACCCCGCGCTTCTCTCGACCAAAAATTGGTGGGGCGCGTCTTTGTGGATGAAACGATCTATATTATATTGCTGTCGAGCTCGCAACACTCACTGTGCGACGGGCGGCCGTAGTGAGTCTGCGTAATTATGCGCGAGCGATAAGGATAGGTAGCTTGGGGTCATTGTCCCAAATTCTGTCTGCTCGGCGACCAGGCTTTATCTGTCACCGTTGCTCATGCTGCCATCTTGCTTTGCGTGAGAGAGATGGCAACATTTGAAACTTCGGAGTAAACCCGTTGTATTGTAAAATTTCTGTGAGCAGCTTAGTGTGACGCGTGCATTTCTAGATGGATAGATCTTTTGCATTAATAGATTGGCGCAAGCAGCGTCCGCGCAAGTTTTAGCGTAGGTCCTTAGGGTGCCTCCACATTAATAGGTTGGCCACGAATGTTACTGGTTTACTAAAAGCGGTTCAAATAATCATCCCCATCCGATTGATAAATGTATTTTTTTTTCCTTTTATTTGATTTAAAAGAGAATAAACTAATGCTTTTGAAATCTAGGATCAGTAGAATCAGTGTAATGATATTTCTATATGTTCTGCGATGAATAAGTTCCTGAAATATCATTTTACTGATGCGCAATATGCATGTGGTAATATTATTCTAGTTACAATAAACCTTTAGTCTAGATTAATAATTAATCTGATTCGTTAATTATTAACGAATCAGTTTTTTGAAGGTGCAAGAATCCAGCAGACTAATTTCACTAATTTACCACGAGCAATTTTTTTACAAGTATAACAATTAATATCGCATCACTGTCAAAATAAATAAGCACATAAAAATCAAGTTTCGAATTTTTGGTGGAATCGGTTTGCTGTTTTCTCACAATGCCCTTCAATAATTTCTAATTTTAGTTATGTAAGCATTTTTCCCGGTAATTTCATGGTCTAACAGTTTTATTTTAATCAACAATAAATTTTGTTAATGTGAATCCTTAATGGTGCATGCAACTAACGTGTCGAAATATTGGGCGCTCAAGTAAAATTATTAACGTTTTAATAATGTATGCTTGTTTTTGTTGCGAATATTCCAAAACAGGCATATTATTATGTCACTTTTAATAATTATAACTTTGCTTGAAAGTTTGAAAAGGAAGAAAAATCCTCGTAAGAGGTTATTTCAGCCTCTGACGATTTCTAATGACCTAAAAAATGTCCGTCATTGATTAATGATGATTCATTCATTATCATTATTTCAGCCACGGTACTGAACTAGGCGTCCCCTAATGATTTCCACATCGCCCGGTTGGTGGCAACCTTCAATCCGTTCTAATATTATTATTTTTTCATTTATTATCATTTTACAAAGGAAGTTCTTAAACATTATTACAATTATGCATTGGCATAAACCACTGAGGTTTGTTTGCAATGCTAGATGCGGTCAGTCTATTGAATAGACAGTTTGACACCATACCCCAATAATTCAAAACCACAACTTTAAAAAAAAAAGACCCTTAATTCTGGTCTTAAAAACTTAATTAATTTTAAATTACCTATAAATTACGATTTTTGTTCGCATTGTAATTGAAAAAAGTAGTATCATTGAGTTGAAAAAATAGTGACGTCACTTGCTTGTAGTGCCATACAAAATCTATGGGAGAGTTTCGTTTTGACAGTTTAAAAAAGTACGTCAATTGATTGGTGGTGTCAACACCTCTATTGGAAAGCTTTTGGCTTTGAGTGTCACGAACTATTTAACGCTGACTGTCCAAATCTGTACCTAGACCACGCCCTTGCTGTCACTTTAGAATCCTGTGACTATATGACATGGAAAACCTTAGGCTGAGTTGCACTAACATACTTTAATCGTAACTACAACAAAAACTAGTGCTTTTTGAATGGATTTTCGTAATAGGTCATTGCAGCTACTGACGATCTCTTCTGACCTCAAGAATGCCATTTTTCTTCTTCTTCGTCCTCGGTCCTCTACTGATGAGGATCGCGACCACAGATAGTGTTCCTCCACCGACTGCGGTCATAAGCTGCGTGAACCGCACGATGCAAACTTCCGCCCACCGTCCTTTTTAATATGTTGTAATAATAATTTGATTGACATGCTTTTAATTATGTATTGCATTTTCTTTCAGTTTTCGCAAGCTCTTTGTTGAGTCTGATATCACCGTGGGATCGTTCCCGCGCCGCTCGCTTAACTCGTTCGCCAGCAAGATGTCCGCGCCCGGTGGCCCCCCCACCGCCCCCGCGTAGGCACTCCGACCCCTCCGCCCCCACCGCCGACCCCCCCACCACACGCGTGCCCCCCCACACCCCCCACAAACTGGAGCTCGACTTGCGGCAAGAACTACTCAACACAAATGACAACATCGAATTCGATTCCTGGCTCGGATGCAACTTCGATCAAGATACAGAACAACATCACCGCTTCGAACACGACATCCCACTACAAAGGTCAGTGTCCCTAGATAGAGGCGTAGACGTATTCAATTATTTGCAGACCATCGGATCAGACTGGTCGGGCAGCAGTATCGGGTCTACCTGGACAGTCCATTCGTTTGGGCAAGGTATAGAACGGTACAGGAGCGTTGAAGATATCCCAGCTTCTCAGATTAGAGTGAAAAGCAGGCGTGCATCTTCAGATTTCGACGGCGCGTTCGGACGCAGCCTAGCGTTATCCGTCTTGAGGGACAGTTATAGGGGCATTGACATGGGCAGTGGGAGTCTGTCGCCGCAGATCAAGAAATTGAAATGGACCTATTCGGTAACCGACTCCTTTGAGGACTTCGCCGATTCGAAAGTCGATGATCTGCGGACTACGGAGGCCGCATTCCTTGGAACAAAGAGACCTTATTGCAGGAGCTGTTCGTTGGAATCGAGCAAGTCGAATGCCAGTAGCGATTTTGAGGGCTATGTAAGCAGTGGTAGACAATCACCACAGATCAAAAATTTTAAAAAGAATGTGTCGCTTCGAAATTTAATACAAGTAAAACGGGCCACGTTTGATTTGAAATCAGATAGTGAAGATAGTGAAATAGAGGCGTTTACGCCCTACTTCAAAGATATATCCATAAAGACTAGAAAAGCAAAGGAACTTTCAGATAAAGGGTTAGACACGAAAAATTTACCGACATTGGTCAAACATTTGAAAAGCTTTTCGTTGCGAAAAAATCTTGCGGAAACAAGTGAAGGATCGGAAAACTCTAAATTGAAGATGAATGAGATGAGTGATAGAAAGAGATTGCTTCACAGAAGCATGTCAATTGATGCGGAAAAGACAAACGTCAAAAGTGAGGCAGAATGTGGATGTATGGATGGACATCAGAAGAGGATCGGGATGACGCGTCACATGTCTTTTGTTGGGGTGAAGAAAATGGAAACGAATTTGAGGAAGGAGGTATTGATCAAGCAGAATATGAGCTACCTCCACAGCAGCTGCGAAGATATCTTGGCTAGGAGCCACAAAAAGACACGTCGCAGGTCGATCGAGTCGAATGCGGACTCAGGCTTTCCTTCAATGAAAAACACCTCCAAGATTGAAGTTCGTAGTAACATTCAATTACCGAAAAAAGACGTTACTACGACGAAAGGTCCGCAATCCAATCAAGCGGTCCCTATAAAAGCAACTGATGAAAACCGTTTTCAAGCAACCAGTGTTGCCAAATGTGAAAACATAAATCCTACCAATACTTCCAATTTAGTAGAAATAAGTAGAATTTGTGACTGTCGAATTTGTACGGAGGACGAGAGAGAGGATAGAATGTCGTTGATTCGTAGGATGTTAAACAAACTCTTTATGAAAATTATCTCTGGCAGAGATTATGGTAGGAAGTTGACATATTGGGATGAGAATAATAATTTAAACGAAAATGAAATGTATACTTGTATTATGCATATACTGAAGTTGATGCTTGGTCTTTGGTTGAGGCATTTAGATCACAATTAATTTAGATAGTAGAATGTCGGTAAAGGTTATAATATATTGAATGTTGATGAAGTTAAAGTAGTTGTTTGTGATTAGTTCTTGTCTTCAAACTCTTCACTTCTTCTGACAATGACTATGTCATAGAAATTGAATCCGTAACCGGTAATAATTATGACTCATAATATTTTGAAGTAAGCTTCTCTGTTTTCTAATAGTGCACATGTTAGTTTTAGGAATATTTTGCCAACTAATCGAATATTCTTACTAAACTCTCAGTCTGTCATCATTCTTAACATTTCCAATTCATGTCAATTTCCTATGTCATAAGTATGGATGTTATAAATAGGTGTTATGCTGAATTTTAGTACAAAACAGAAACGATTAACTACGACTATATGAAGTCTTGTACATCCTACGTGGTATATTAATGTTGTTGCTTCCAATTTGTACTAATATTTGGTACGTGTGTGTTTTGCCCGATTCACGGAACATTTCACAGATTGACCGAAATTCTCTATGGTCCAATTTTACAGGCCATATTTTATCATTGACATACGTAAAATAATTTTTCAACACCAATTTTTTTTTTCATAGTAATTTTTTTTCATTCGAATCGGGCAACATTGAGAAGTGACTGACACGCAAAGGCTGTGTATGTGTGACATTATATACATTAAAGTATGATATCACAGCTTGTAATCGTTTATGTTTAAGTTACAACTTGTATTAAGTTTGGACCGTGGTTGCATACTTGTTTATTGATGTTGAACGTGGGATCGCGGTCTTGAGCCTTCATGTCACTGTTCCAACTGAGAACTTTGAATCACAACATTTGGTGCGTGGACTCTTCACTCCCCATGGATTGAAAAGAGACGGGTTGTCTTTTTAACCCTCAATTTAATGTATTAGAGAATAAACTCTGATTTTGCACCATTATCCATCTTTTGTCGCAACGTTGGTAAGAGACATTGGCTCATACATTCCTTGAATACTTTGTTTAATAGATTATCAAATTTTGGCTTTGTTTGGAAGCGTGAGTGCCATTATAAGATAATGCTACCTTTTGTATTTCATTATAACCAATCATCGGACCAATATATAGAAACATATCTTCCATTTGTCTTTTCGAAATCGTAATTTTATATTGGTCTCGACTCTGTATGTATTTAATACTCAATTTTAATTGTATTATAATTAATTTTGTTAGTACTCATGGCCTAAATAACTGTGAAACACGCAGCACTTTCCATTCCGAAGTATTTAACTTGCCAAATGAATGATACATTTAAGTGCAAGTGTTTTTTAAGTATTTATTTTGATTTTAGCATTCGACTATACGATAACTGCGACTCTGGGACACAAGCCGAAGCACATAGTGTATGGTCCAAATGTGAGGTTAATTACCTCTGTAATGTCACAAATTGTTGCTAGATTATTAGAGCGCTTTCACATTTAGGCGATTTAGCAGCGCGACAAACGCGCGACATACGCGCTGTCGAAAATTTCATACTATGTGACAGCGGATGCATCCCTTCACATTATAAAAACGCCGCTGCCGCGCTACTAACGCCCTATTGTGAAAGCGCTCTTAATTTTCCGGGCGTTGTGGGGCTCATATTTTGCTGAATTTTCACTCAAAATTGTGCAGTGTTGCCCTAAATCTATTGTCTTAAGGTGGATTTTGTCACGAAATATCAGATCTCAAAAAATACATTTGGACCATACATCTTGAACTGGCCGCAACGGATACCAGAATAACCCGTTTTTTAAATACCAATTTACTTTTTACTATTACTGTTGACATGATAAAAAATGTCATAACATGATGAGCTGATGCCAATTTGTCAGCATGTCAAGTCCTTGAATCAGCCAGTTGTTTAGAAACTGGTATATCATTAATAGTTATAGAAATTCAGTAAATAGCATAAGACGTTAAAAAGTAAAATAATACAGGCAGTAATAAGTTTTACAAAGACTTATAGTTTAGTGGTTGTAAAATTTACCGTTTTTACAGATTAATAGATTAAAGTATTCTAATGTTCTCGATGTTTATTTATCCTGCTCACTCATAGCAGGAAAGAAAGAGCGAAAATAAGCTTCGAGAATTCTAGAATCCATAATTTCATAGATTAAAATTCGTTGTGGCTAGTCGTAAGAACTACGAATCACTAGAAATAGACATAGATAAAAAGAGGAAATAGATAAAACTCTCGAAGGATTATGAAGTAATAGCTGTTGGCAATAGACTAGACAGACGGACTAGATCAATCAATAGAAGTAAGCACGATTTTTTTAATAAATTAACTACTAAAACTTCACAATTTAATTGTTTAAACCGTATTTCAGTTTCAACAGTTCATGAAATGTAGCACGTTTTTTTATTGAGTGTAGTTTTTTTTTCACTCAGTTATTTATAAAGTGCTGATAAAAACTTGTCTATTGACGTCATATTTGATATACTTTGGAACTACTCGTCAACGAAAACGTGAAAAAATACCTATTGTTTAAAATCTATCTACTAAACGATTTCCCTACCAAATATTCTATGTTATAGTATTCTCTATGTAAGTAATTATTATTAGAATACCTTATAAACTTATACACCTATCTAATACAAATTACCTTTATATAAAAATCGTTAAATTATTGTGCAAGTTAATCTGTCAACTTGCAATATTAAAAATTTTTAAATCCCGGAATATTTTCTTATGAAATATTATTCTTTATTACTTTATGGTTTATTTTGTTTGTATTCTAGTCACAGTACTACTGGATACTAGACTTTATTATTCATGTATTAAATCTTAAAATGCGCTAATCCACAATCGAAATGGCAGAAAAACTACTTCCTAAATAAGTTCTTTGTTTGAAGATAAAGGGAGCAATACTTTTTAATTAATACAAAACCTTCGTGCTAAACATTTCCTTAGTACCTACTACGATGCTCATTTGAATTTCTCATGGCCTGTGTATGATGTCATAGGAGATTGGCGTTAAATAATGATATCATTACACTTCCGCGTCCTGAAAGAATATCTTTCAAAGCAATATTATGATCCACCACTGTAAAACATTCGAATTAAAAACTATTTAAAATAAAATTCAAACCCCTAGTTTTACTAGGTCCATTCTGAATTAGAATTCGTTATAGTATGTTGGTCCTTTTCAGGACCATGCCCTTACCCTAATTCTAAACATACCTTTCTTCTAAAATATATTCGTCACCGAGATGAAATTTTAATGTTACTAGAATGCGGTTGTGCAATAATTCAACCGTATATTAGACCACAAATGTGCAATAACATTAAATCAGTAAACTACGTCAATTTCATTTCGTATGACACATTAAAACTTCACAGCTAGGAGGCAGTTAGATGCATGTTCTTTCATTATAAAAAAGTGATTTAGTATTCGTTTTACAATGACTAAAATGTTTATCAGTTGGGTTTTTAAAACAATTTTAAACTGTAAATTGACAGTAAAAATTTAGCCATTTTGATTTTGGGTTGCGCACTGATAAGTTTTCACTTGTTTTAATTTTTTTAACATGAATTGACGGTAAAAAAATTGAAGATCACTAATTTTTTTGGGGTTACTGGGAACACTAATTTGAAAATGTAATCTAATGATTTTTATTACGCACGGATACAAACTTGTATAATAATTTCTTAATTTATGACGATAAAATCCGTGAAATGTCGAAAGAGTTTAAAATATTAGTATTATTTATTAAAATAAGTATATTATCGATACATTTCTGTCGGTAATATGTATAATTGAGTTGTGTAATTAATTTTATTATTTGTACCTCAAACGATTTTGTTTTTCACTTGCGTAGTTTTAATGAATGTTGTAAAGACGATTATTGGTACCTAATCTATTATAAGTTGACGGTGTCAAAGTAAATTATATATCTGTTTGTATGAAGAATTATGCGTTTTATTTACTTTTTGCTTTAGTTATTTCCTTATCGAAATATTTACGTACTTTGCATGACTTATACATTTTTCACAATCGTCCATATTGCAACCATATAACATACCACAGTTAATACAAACTGACTCACAAAATCACTCTTATGGACATGATTAGGTCCCTAATTTAGATTTAGCATGTGTCGTTTAAAAACATTGTGACTTTAAAAGAGTAAATTACCACTTTTGTATTTAACAGACTTTACACATTTCAAAAATGTCGCTAAACATTGACATCAACGAAAATACATCTGTGTCACACAAGGCACTCGAGGCATTCGGTCAGAAATATAACCACCATATAGAAGACGACATTATACTAAGTGACCAGTTTCTCAGATAGTATCTTTGGGGATAATATATTAGCTGTACAAGATATGTTTATTATCTGGTTACACGCTCGTAACTCAAATTCTTATCTTGGTGGAAAACAAGGCTATGGACATGTATTTGAATGAGTTAGGTCATTATTTTTGGGATCTACTGTGCATACAATCGGTCTCATAGTGGTCGGTTTTATAGTGGGTCTCGGCAAATGATTATCATTGTGTTCGTTATCACATAAGTATTAAGTCTCGACTTCTCTAAGAAGTTATTTCCTAGGTTTAAAACCAGCAGATTACTGTTAATACAGAAGGATTCACTGGTTTGGCTTGGAATAAACGATGTCTCAGTTGTAACTGAGACTGAGTATAAACGATGTCTCAGTTGTGAGTGAGCCTTTGGACTTTTAACACGTTCCTCGATAATCATAATTGAAAAGTATGAAATTAAGGCTTGTAACGAAGAATAAACTATTGCTTATTGTTTATTCCAAGCCAAATCGGCACACATTATAGTCATCCAACGAGTAACTGCATAGTCATGCTATAATAGTTGCCTATTAACTGTGGTTATGCTCCATCACTCCATCCTTTTGGAATACCATATTTATTTACCGTTATTATTTACTTGAGTCAATGAAAGCGTTTAATTTTTGAGTTGTTACTAAAACACCCAATAAGTATAAATGTTACTATCATCTTTCATAATAAATGCAGGGATTTATAATAATTATGAGTAGGACTAGGTACCCATAATTTTAATCACACACATAACTTTACTTTCAATTGCCGTAAAAATTCCCGGTCGCGACAGGTTTACGATAACTGCCTGAATTTGATAGTTCGAGCATGATATACAGACACGATTACCACCTTACGTAATTGTAATAGATGCTGTTTTTCAACAGAAATGCATAGTCTGATGTGCGGTACAAAGGGTATATTTATCGTCTGGCCGTGTGTAGTCGCCGTATAATTTTCGGCATTATCGGGACCGGGTACAGACCCGGTCAAGTTCATGGCAGGTTGTGACCCACATGGGGACTTTCCATGACTCGTATAACTGGCTCGGCATACGACTACGAGCCATCGGTAAGTCTGCGTTGTCAAGCGGCGCAGATAAAATGATATTTTGACCGCTTTCAGTAAAAGTGAAACCTGTAGTAAAATTTAATAAGTAAAATGTACGGTCGACATTTTTGCTGCTAAAACCACCTTTTACAATCAAATTACACACATACAATGTTTCAATGTGTAGCTAAATAATTATGTCGACTTTGTAATCTGTAGGTACACAGTTAAAATTAACCAATTTATACCTAGGCAAAGGTGTAGGTATACTTAATTCAGCATAATTTATAGGACTAGAAATTGGATAGAGTTAGTTGATATAGAGTTCGATTCCTAGCGAGACACAAATAAGTAGGTACTATTTGGCGCCCAACATTGTAGGTCTCCCAGATGGATAAGATTATTTCTGCAAATTCGTTAATTTGGAATTCTTAATGCTTTAAAAATAAAACATGGGTGGATAATCCATGTAGGAATGAGGAAATATTGATAAGTTTTCACATTCCTGTGGTATTACATAATTATCTAGTCTCTACATTTTGCATTAAACAAGTTAAGCGTGTAATCTGTACCTATTACAGGTTTTAAATCGTTCGTCTCATTACTGGAGGTGATTTAAAAGCCTCTTTAACATGGATAATGGATCTGCGGTTATAACGCAAAGATATAATTTATAATTAACTTTTGCAGCTCAACAGGTTAACTGCCAATCTATTTGATTATCGATGTAAATAATTTGCTGATACTTTGTAATTAAGTAAGACCCCCACTTCGACAAACATTTTAATTAACTTACTCTGTACGTTATTTTTACATAATATATGAGTAATGATTAGGTACTAAAAGGGTATACCTAGCTAGGTTGTTTCTTATTTAACACTAAGTATCCCTTTTTTTCCCTTTTCTCTATAACAGACCTGTTATGTACTTAGTGCTTACATTTATTTGTTTTATTGTGGGACAAGCAGCTTTAGAGTAGGCGCACACCGTTGATTTTTAGTTGGCTGATAGTTGTGCCCGATTTTAAATTGTATGAAGAATCGGCCAAATCGAATCGGCGTAGTGTGCGCACTCCCATACATGCCCATACTGATCAACTGCCCGACTAAACTATCGGCCGACGAAAAATCAACGGTGTGCGCCTACTCTTAGTCGTTTTTTGGATTGTTTTGTCATGAAGTCTCTTGTGTAACACTCAAATAAAAGGTATCTTACATGCAACCTGATTAGGGTGGGTTTATACTCGTTTTAGATAGTTTTTGAGTGAGTTATCCAACTCTATCCTTGCAGTTGTTTACGTTTAATTCTATTTACAGACAGGCTTTTAATTTGCAAAGGGATAGGCATACATTTACAACAACAAGCTATTGGATTTCCTTCTTAACTGGTTCACGTAATCTGACTAACAAACGAGTTATTAACATTTTCACTGAAAAATTCCATTATCACATCCGCAACCTTGATTTACCTTTTATAATCCGTTAATTCGTTTATGATTTTGTTAATTGCTTAATTGCTAGATTGCCGTGTTAGGTTTACAGCGTCCTTTCTGGGGCACGGAGTATTTGCCATTAATGTTGCGGTTCACGATCTCGCATAGTTCTAGTGATGTGGATAGTCGATAGGCAAGGCAGTCAGATGGAGCGTAGAGAGGCTGCGCCGAATATCGAGGCCATACCGCGATGCTGGAGGTTATAGCGCGATTTATGTGTTTGGTGCTTGACTTGGTACAAGTTTTTAATGGTTGAATGTAGTCATTGGTTTATTAAAGAAAAAGGACAACATAAACAACTTATTTGAGTGCCTAATAATGCACCATTTTGAAATAAGTTCACAAATAGGAACACATTCTAAGAAATGCTACTAGGGAATTTAAGTACACCATCTTACAACTTGGATAAAAAGAGCCTGTCTTTGTTGCTGTAGCGAATATTTGAACTTTGAACATAGTGACACAAAAAGTAAATTGAATCGTCGGAAGACACCTTTCCGGCAAAGGATCCTTACTCCAATCCGTCTCTATGAACGCGTCTTTACGAAATAGCAATTAGATTTTTACGCGGGCTAAAAAAGCTAGTAATAAAAATAAGAGTTCATGCTTCAATTAATGAAGAAGTTACCTAACGTTATCATTTCATTAAAATGTTGTTAATTTACAATTCATTTATATTGGACTTATTTTGGTAATTTAAAAATGATTTGTTTTGATAATTTGCACAAAAATACAACACTTTCATAATAACAGGTTGGTAAGTAACAAGTTTGTTTTGTTGCAATTTGCTAATTGTGCCACTTTTAACACATATTACTTTACAAGTTATGTACCTAATTATAAAGTAGCATAGCAAGACACGTAATTAAACCATAATTAAATAGTAAGTCTGTTTGATGGTAGGTAATTAGGTATACCTAATATCTAGGGGGGTAAACATAATTATTATTGTCAGTTAATGACGGCCCTTAGGATGTAATTTTGTTTAAATATTAATTTTATTTATTTGTTTATTTAAAATCTTTATTGCACACATAAAAAACAGTGGTACAACAGGCGAGATTATGCCATGTGGCATTCTCTTACAGCTAACCAGAAAATTAGATTAATTTTAAAGATGTAAGTAACATCTTTCTTATCCCTAGGATGCCTGGAAGAGATCGTTTCATAGCGCTAATACCGCCTAAATTGTGCCGTCTTTTGTGTAAGTATTTCTCTATTAACTTGTTTTGTGTTTTGCGTTTAATGCAATAAAGAAATTAATTGATTAATTAATTCTTTCCATTTGTATTTATTCTAATCGTATTTAATTTCGTAGCAACTATCAAGATTGTAAGTCGCCGTAACCCCAAGTAAAGGTGAGCCCGGCGCGGGCGCAGTGACGTGTCTCTTCTCACTTCTCTTCCTTCACTTTAGTATTCCGCGGACCGCAGCACGGAACGCACGTTCTGCTTGCTCCGACATCCACATAACATAAACTTGCTAATTGGTGTACTTTGTAATCAACAAGTGATATCGAACAAGTTAATAAGATATTGTAATCCAAACTTACCGATAGGAAAGCTTGTTTTCGTTGCAAGGACAGTGATATGAAAGTTTAGTTTGCGGGCTTATAGTGATATTTTTGGTAAATTTTGTTCAACTACGGGATTTCTGCGTGCGAAAGAATAATAAGGTGAGTTGCTTAATTGTTTCTAGTCAGGAGACGGTTTCTTGGATAAGCAGTTGCACGCAGTGCTTGGACGCTGGTATGTTAGGTTTGCGAGGCCCAAGAAAAAACGCGGAAATTCTACGCCTTAGGAATTGCGATTTCGTTGACGCTAAGTCAATATTAGGAAATACTACTTGGTAAGTAATTGCTTTTTTATAAGATTTATTGCTAAACGACCGTTCAACATGGACATGTTCACTTTTGCAATGATTAATGAGTTTAGTAGTTGCAATCTGATTTTAGAAAAACGTTAGAATTTAGTGCTACTTATAGATTTTTATAAGTTCCTTTTTTTCACTTCGTGGAAATTGGTCAAATATTGACATTATCTAATTTAGAGAACCAAAAGGTAACTGTATTAGAGGTAACCAATACTAACTGTACATCTGACGCCTAACTTGAACCGGTCAGTTCAGATATTCGGTGTTCTGACCGCAGAATCACCCATGCGTTTCGTGCCTGTATTTTGTCGCGGGCTTCTTCATTCAATTGTTTTAACGCGCCTAGAGAAAGCCATATTTTCATCATATTTTATGAGAATCACAAAAGTGCAGTTAAAGTCTTGATCTTTTATGAAAACAGTCTTCTATACAGCAGACAAGAAGTAGTGAAACTGTGAAACGAAACCTGTTATTATTTTGGCTCAACTCAAGTGACAGGGCCGGCTTTTAATGTTAAGAAGATGCGTTGATAAATGGCACACTTAACCGGTGGCGAGCCACCTCTGACTCAACCAACTTTCACGTGACTGTCACCTGTCACGTTGACAGCGGAACAAGTGACATGTCAAATGTCAGGGTGTTTCACTTTGATCGTGGACGGGGTATTAAATCATGGGTATGACTGCTTTAATATTCATTTATACGGGACTTGAACGGTATTGAAGATTTCTCTGTATTTTAAGGTCAAAAATTAATTTTTGCTTATCGTGAATTTGTGTAAATATTCTCCATAATAAAACGACAGTTTAATTAAATAAAGCAGGTCTTTTTGCTATAGTTTACTAGATAACTTAATCTAAGCCATACTTTTCTACGATTAAAAGTCATTAACAAACTAACCGTCACGTTGTTATAATGCGTTGTTTGTAAACAAACTAACATTGCACCCGAACAAAGGACGCGATTGTCCTCTGTTTGTTTGCATACTTGCGGTACAACAACAACAATACTTGACATTGTGTTGTCGGGAAATGCATTTTTATTGTTTAAATGATCAACAAAATGTAACATCTTATCGCTCATATAAAAGACATCAACGATCTACAACTTTTTGTATATTTTTTTCACGCATTTAATCTTTTGATAATGAGATAATAATGTCTAACTTTACTAGTTTTAACTTGCTATTATTTTAATAAACTATCGTGTCGATAAATAACTCGGTTTTTTAATCAATTCAGATTTATCTATCGTTAGTATAATAAATAATGAACTCCTACGTAAATAATTTAACTTCAAAGTTGATCTGACCAAATTAAAAGACATCATTATTGCCTAATTGGCTTAGATACATCGTATATCCAATATAACAAAAAATAGATTAACTCAGTTTCTAACTTAACAAGTGACGCATTCGGGTAATTGATTTTATATCGCCTTATTAACATGCTCGGATCAATTTGCATTTTAATTGTTTGACCATTACTTCGCAAGTGGTAAACGACAAACTAAAGCCGTAAACTTTTACTTGGATATTAGCAAAGAGTGCTCATTATCGGTTGCATTAAAACGCAAATACGGCGTGTGAAAGAAAGTCCGAAAGCCCGTGATGTGTAGGCGAAACTCGCAGATATGCGCAAGCGCCGCTCGCTCGCACTTTCGACGCCGAAATGCGCACGAGATTACCGAGATGGTGACGTAGCATGCATTTAAGATGCAGAATTGACGTAATTCTACAAGAGTTTACTGCCTTTTTTGTATTTATGTGCATTGAGGCTTGAGGCAGTTTTGAGTCTGCATTGGGAGAGTTATTTTTATCATGACGGTTCGTTGCCTTCAAGTTTCTTCGTAAAATATGGGTCCATTTAGTAGTTTGTTACTTTTTAAAACTGTACACTTTTTATGTTAGTATTTCTACAACAAATCAATTTATTATTATTAAAATTACAAAAAAAACAGCCTAAGTTTTCTGTCTATTATAGTCTTGAAGTTTCTAAATCGAATATGTTAATAAAATTAATTAAAAGAAATACTAAAGCCTTGAGGGAATTATTTAAAAATTCAACACTTTAATAAGCATGAAGTCAACACAGTACACTATAAAAAGACATGACTAAGTTACTGCAAAAAACCTGGTCGTGGAATTCGTAATTAACCTTTAAAAGTTGTTATTTTTATGTAGACATAAAACTAAGATTAACACGTAAGGTTTTCTACCAGATACAAGTCATTGATTAATAAATATAGAAATCATAATCGATATTTCAGTGCTTTATTAGACTTGATTTCATCAAAAAGTTGATTTAGGAATTGGGTATTGAAGTATAGAGAGTCTAACCTAAATATTCTTTAAAAAAAACCAGTGTCAGGTCTTCGAAAAACCAGTTTAATCTCATCTTTTAAACAATGCTTGTAGACGCTTAGGACTTGTTGCAATAATGTCGTCTCTCCTTTACTTATCTACATCATCCAATCCACCCTCTGAATGGGAGTGAATATAATTTATTACAATGAGAAGAATTATTTATAACGACCACCCATCTTGTCAGTGGGCCCGACAGACCACCATGCTATTGGTGTAAGAAGTGTCTTTACAACACCATTTAAATTCTATGATAATTTAAAACTTTGATGGCAGTTGATAGAGAAAAAGATTATAGACTGGGGCGTAATTTTAGAGGCGACAATAGGGCAACAGTTTTTGCATCGGAATTCCGATCAGAGAGGACGCAGTTCGATTCCCGTCGACCGTAATTAGGTAGTCAATCAGAAGAAAAGTATTGTATAGCCCGACCAGGAACATAAAAACCCTCGCCATGTTGCGGAAAACTAATGGTACTAATTTCTTTTAATGGCAACAGTAACTGAAAACTTCATTGGCATGTCACCTTGCATGTCAGTCTATTGCTGTCAAAGTGTAAACAAACTTTATTTTAAATGTGCGCAAATGATTTTGTGAATTAAATTGCTAAAATCTTTTTATAGTCGTGAAAGAAAAGTGGTTCACAATGTGTTAAAGTATTTGTCGAAGAAAAATACTAAGGGTTCGGACAATATTTTTATTGAATAATGTTTCCGACAAAGGTTGTCAAATTGACTGACATGTTTATCGTATAGTACAGTCCACTATGAAAATTAGCTGTGGTTTGTTTCAACTACCTATTTTAAAGTTTTTTGTCACTTCGTAAGTGTTGAATTTTATGGTATTGGGAAAGAAGTACCGAGTTTGAAGTTCATGAGCAGGCATTGCAATTGAATATTCAAGTTCTGAATTTGATTTTGATGAATAATAAAATAAGTCCTACTAGCTCGATTGAGGGTTTCATTTAATTTATTTAAACCAGGTTACCTATAATAATATTTTTTCGTTAATTTATGAAAATATCAAATTAATCTGAATCCCGATACATAAAGTTAGCCTATTAATTTAACACAGGTACGACTGTACTCAGTGTTGCACTATCAAATGCAATTGGCGCGCCTCTATGCCAGGGTTTTTATGTTCCTGGTCAGGCTATATGACTGATGTTTTAAATAAATATGTACCTATGATCCGTTTGATTTTCAGTTTGAAGGGTTCGCCATCGTAAACTAACTGAAATAATAAATCTCTATGAATTTATGCTTTTGTGAAGAATTTAAAAGCATAACGAGTTGTTTGATGCATTTAAACTTCAAATAAATTCTCTGTGTAAATTTTAAGCACAAAGTTTTGAAGCTTTATTCGGCTTTATTATTATTTTATTCGTGTATTATACAATATGTTTTCACTTAGCATACGTACTTGAATCTCGTAAAAATGAAAGGTCATAACGCTCTGTTGGCTCGTTTAATTATTTGGTTTACGGCGCAGAGGTCACGGGTTCAGTTTCGTGCCGCAACTTGAGGTGTTATTGAGTTGATTTTAATTTGAGGCTCTGAGTAGGAAAATATTTAATGTATGTTAGAATATGTTCCTACTGATTATTCGAGTTCATGACCCTTGACGAGGTTTTGGAAATAAGCACGTTTTCTTTTCACATAATTGTTCTGACAGCAGTGCATTAAACAATGTAATATTCGTAATTGAAGCATAGGTCTTCTCTGCTAATACTAGTCATAGTCCAAGATCTACTCAGTTTGGGTACAGTAGATATATGAGCTAAAGCAGTACGGANGTTTGGGGCTAGAGAAATTAACAATTCGATAATCAGGTCAGTCTATCTCAGATTCTAGTAAAATTGAAAATGACTTAACTGACGGGTAAAGAATAGGTACCTAAATCATTACAAATAATATGTTATTAAGGACTTAATGATGATAAAAATGTATTTTATGCAGTTCTAACGGGCAAGTTTACAACAAGATGTCATTTGTATTTTACGATACCCTCTAAAATACTCAACTTTACCACAGATTACTAGTAAGTGACTCTACCTTCTTCAGTTAAACCGAGATACAATGATTAGTGTCCCCAGCATCACCGCAATTAAGTAGTAAAGCTAGCACTAAAACTTTATTATAGGATGTGACAAGTAATTATTAGTAGCAGCTTGCTTACGTAAAGCTAATAACAAGTTGCTGAGGCTGCGCCAATAGCACAGGAAGAGCCATTGTGTGGAACCTTCCATCGCATCCGATTCGTGTGAAATCGATCTTCCTTATTGGTGTTACTTCTTGCTACATTAATGGCTGAAGTCAAAGTTTGAGTTTCTGGCGGGCTTAATGTAATTTGGCTCACTTCGTTTTGGATTTCGGAGGTTTAGAAACGCCCTGGAAAGAGCCTTACGCCCGTATTCACAAACATTACTATGAGGTCTCACAGTGCGCGTGGACGCACAGGGTGACATATGAACCAATCGCAGAGCTCTATTCAACGCTGTGCGTTCGATTTGCTGCTTCACATAAGCAAGCATTGTTTGTGAATACGGGCGTTAGTACTTACTGAATAAAAGCTTCGACTTTGGATATTGCTTAAAAGAAACTCTAAAGTCGGCAGAGGTATGTGGCACCGTGCATCGAAGGGCACGCAATACTTTGGGTCGTGTCAAGCGCCAGTGGTTGCTACTAAGGTCTGTCATCAGATTTCTGTTACAACCCACACGATTTAGAAAGAAATAAGCAAAAGGTATTAGAGTAAATGATAAATTTTATGTATTATGATTTATTTTCCATTTGAAAAAGGGTAAAAAGTTAATGTTTGATTTTGGTATGAAAAGTTTTGCCTTCATTTGATGATAATTATTCAGAATTGGTAACATGAAAGATATGTTTCGAATAGTATTTATGTGTCTTGTAAGCTATCAAGTATGTAATGATTTCAAAGACGTATACCATGTATTGCAGGTTTATGTAGGTTAATAATCGCCTTATTCATATCGATGTCCGGTGTCAGGTACATTTCGAACTAGTTTACTGGTGCTAGGTTTATAAACAGCTAGTTACTACTTATTTCCTGCTATTTGTCATATGTGCAGTTAAAAAGTTCGTTCGTTTCAGCCAAATGATGACCACTGCTGGACAACGACCGGTCCATGAGGGAGACAAAAGTGTTTGAAATTAAAATAGTGTTGTTATTTTTAATTTATTTATTACTCTTGTTTAAATGAAAATGCAAGGTTAGTGCAGTGCAGTAGGTAACGCAGTTTTCCATAGCTGTGTGCAAATTACAAACTATACAAACACTGGAAAACTGCCTTAGCAACTATGCGAGCGAAGCACGCTTGCAGCCAATGTGTTAACTTAGTGGTCTGCAACCTGCAAAGAAGTTAGAATTAAAGCCTACAAGAAGAGACTCATCAACCTTATTCAAACATTGGGATGTCAGAACAATCGATGATTTTGTTATAACATCGGCACCTTGTTGCGTAACTGATAAACGATCACCAAGAGCTTTCTACTCGGCCATCGCCACTGATGCGTTATTGGTGTTCCTTAACGAAATACACTGAACCGATAAGCCCACGATCAAAGATGAGCATTGGTATTCTTCTATCGAGTAGGCAGTAAAATGCTGAAACAAGGATATCAACTGAAAATCAAAATCTTCAGCTTTCGAGACTACATTGCACTTTAAATATAGGTAGGGAATAAGGACAAAAATGGCCCTAAAATATAGTTTTGTTTAGAAATTTTCTACGAGTAGGTACGATAAGTCACACATGTCCAGCTCATTTTTTCCAAAACCCTGTGGTGCTCTACAATGTTTAATTTTAATTTGTAACAATTTTAAAATTATCCGATATGGCGTTATTTTATATAGGTACATTTATTCAGATTTTCCGAATAAATGGAAAATCACAACTATCTCCTATTCTCCTATATCACCTTGAAACTTATGATCACGCAAAAAAGTGTCATACGGAACAGATTAATATGAATCGTCTTCTCGCCAGACCTTTTTATGCTATCTTTTAATCTTTAATGGAAAGCGATGTTCGATGATGACTGACATATCTTTAATTCTTCTCATTGGTTGACGTTATGCAATAGCCCTAATGATGTAATATGTGTGTGACGAAATCGGCTATAACCGTAGGAAGGTGTCAGTTTAAATATCCGATTTATTTGTGTGTGAATCCGCCAACGCACGTGATGTTAGACAGAATAAGCAAAAATATTAAGCATTAAATTCAGTATGTCGTAAAGTATGCTATTAATGCTTCAAAAATTCTTCGATAGTAATTTATTACACTGTAACCTTCACAAAACTATTTTCTCTTTTATTCTTTGTTAAAACGTAACACGAATAACATAAAATATTTCCTTGTGATTGTAAACCTCTCCATTCTTGAACCCAACAATATAATCTAATGAATTAAATATTTGAGGGTCAAACAGTCTTCCAATCCTGTTTTACCTCAGTGAGGGCAGGTTTCTCTATAAATCCCATAGTTGTAACGCGCAAGTCACATTTACATTTATATGAAGAGAATGGGCACGCGCCTCCGTGTCACCGTTGCGGATGCGATGCGCGCGCGCCGCATACTGAACCGCATCCGGACTGAACGGGGCTAGGAAGCTATTATAGGAAGTTTTACGCAATTTGCTAGTCGGAGACATAATATGATATAGCGACTGTCAATAAATTACCTTAGTATTTTTTTATAAAATCAATCATCTTCGTTACACTTATGAACTCGTCTGTAGAAAGTCTGAGGAACCTAACATTATCGGTTACTCCCAACACCATCGATGTAAAATAAGGTTACAAAAAATAACAGTAACAATAACCCCTTTGCTTTATAAAAATATAGAAGTTGTAAAGAAAATCATTATCAAAACAACAGATTTCATTATAATATTCTTCGTATCCCACACATTACTTACTCGTCGTATACTTATAAACAAATGCTAAACGCCACAAAAAAAGCATAATATAAAATTAAAAAGCAAATTGCCGTATCATAGAGCAGTTACGAAACTTAGTGTCATTCAGACCTTGATCTCCCACGACCTAATCATGAAGCATGAAGACGAAACTGCTTGGATCGTTGACATCAGCCTCTATCTAGCCCATATCTTGCTCTATTCAATTTTCCAACCATTTAGACCGCAACAGGTGACTTACTGTTTTCAATAACTTAACGGCATTAACTCAAATAGTTTTAGATGAGGTTTTATTAGGGTGAGCGAGAAATGATACAGCCGTAGAGAAGCACAGTCACTGATCTGGATAAGTGGGTGATTGTGCTAGATGCCCATATTTGTCGCAATCTTGAAGCTTGCTTACAATGTGATTGTTGTAGGTACTGCTATGTTAGTAATTCATCATATTATTCTTTTGGTTACTATAATCTGACGCCTTTAAAATTTAAGTTTGTAAACGGTTGCTCAGTTAATAGAGAGATAGTAGTCGGCTTACACAAGCGAACTATGGCATACATTTTGTACTGATTAAAACACGAAAAAGAACATGCTTTGTATGTTTTTAGCTAATGTTGATAACCTTTCTGAGACCGATAAAGTAGACAAGTTATAAACATTTATCGAGTTTTTGTTCTGACTCTCAATTTATCGTTTTGTGTGGTCTGTCCTGTGCACATAAAGTTATCATTTGTGGAATATTTGACAAAAAAAGTGGGGCGCCAACATTTTTACGACCAACACAATCGAATGTTTGCCCCAATTTGGCCCAATGATCTTTCTCGTTGGATATTATATCAACAGTCTTAACGTGCGGTCGTATCCCAACTCGCGCAAATTACCTTACTTTCCGAGGCTTAAAAGTCAAAGAAAGTTAAAAAACGCCGATATATTATCGCGGCCCAAATGAGCCTATTAAAATTCTCCAAGATATGGTGAATTATGTTTATTACGTTGCGAATCAAGTTGTTTCGCGATTGATTAAAATTCTGCGAAGGCGAAAGTGCTAATTGAGGTTTCTTGTTTTATATGAAAATAAATAGTTTAAATGTTATTCAATGAACGTTAAATTGTACTTGCACAGACCATTGCAGTTGTAGCAAACGGATTTAAAAGTATGAGTAAATTTTTATCGGTCCACCACACTCACGTGATTATCGGAATCTGATGTAACTTATTATAAATTAAAACGTATAAGTTTAATTGACATCGGAAGTATGTTTAATCACTGTTGTAAGAACGTAACGTAGTAATAAATTACACAATAGATATTCCTGATTGACTGATCTTTCAACGAACAGTCAGAACTAAGTACTTACTGCGTCTAAAAACCTGAAATTTGGTAGAGTACGTAACTCTATTTTTAACGTATCTGAAAAGGGTCTAAAGTCTCTGAAGCTTGTACATAAAAAGCAACTGACTCTACATAGGTGTTTTTTGAGAGCCTAGAACTGCACACGTTCCTATGTCTACTAAGATTTTTATTCTGTTACCTACTTGACCATTGCTTTTTCACAGTCGCCAGCACAGTGAGTAGGTGCCGCGCCAAATATCTGTCCACCCGTTTTATAATGCTTGACGTCCACGACGTATAAGGCCCGCCGGCTTTCTCCACGACCCACTGTGCGCCCGCGCTTAGCACGCGATGAGAAAAACCTATTTCTTATCCACACAGGTTCACGAGCGTTTCTTTCGCATATTTGATGGCAAAAACTTTGATCATGTTAAGAGAAAAATTGCTTGAGATGGTAAAAAACGAAGAATTTCACTTTTCTTGTCAGGAACAGTGCTTTTTTATAGCCCTTTTAATGTTGTCGTGAATTTACTTTATACAATAAAAATAACGAATAAGAATACTAAATATGTTTTTTTTATTCCAGATTTCGTACAGCTGAAGGTGGATTCTTAAACGTAAGTTAAAAGCAGCAAATATACGATAGAATTTAAGTTACTAAATCTTATATGTATGACGTTAAAGTAGTCTACTTTACGTGTATTTTAAATCATAATATAAAATAAGTACAAAATTAAAATAATTTAAGCAATTGATTTTAATATTCCCACATCATGTTCAATGATTATGAATGACATTATGACAGTACAGTGATGCAAGCTGTGAATATTATAGTAATTGCTCGGTCAATCGACAGTGATTAAGCGCTCGCGTTGCTCGTTAATTATTTATTAACATCAGCAATCGGTACTCAGTTATTTTGCTGTCAGTGAACGCTGAGATACGAATAAAACGATGATTGTGAAATCGTGTCGTTACACTCTAAAATTCGTAACAATTATCGATGAACTCGCATGTAAAAGTCAGCTCTAGAATGTTTCGATAATTCGATATCGTTTGAAATCTCTCAGTTACGTTTTAGCTACTTGTACATACCAATCATTAACGCGAATAGCAGTTTTAAATCTAGTAAAGAATAACTGAACTCTATCAAACTCTACTCTATTGCAAAAATAACATGTTATTCATTAAGGATAAGTTCACTTAATTTTTTTTTTCACCTGAGACTACCTACTCATAACATGTTTACCAACTTTACCAAGTTACTTCGACATTCGTAAGCGATAAGTATGTTAAAACAGATTATTTAATTTGCATGCCTTTTTTTTAAATGTTTTTACCTAAAAAGTACTACTTATTGTGCTTCCGTTTCAGACTTATAAAGTAACATGTATTTACTTTTATACATATTACACGTTTTTAACTGAATACGTTTATCCTGAAATGCAAGGTATACGTATTGTATAAATTGATATGTTTTTGAATTGAAATGTAAAATAATGGCGAATACATACTCTTTCCAAGAAAACTTACTAAGGCTCAGCCAGAGCCAGTTATGCAATAAAGTTTAAATTAAGAAAAAACTCGCTTCCATAAACCGCAAACAATTTAATTCTCTATAGTGAACGATCAAAATAGTCTCTACATGTCGCCCACGTATTGTTTGATGCACACAAGTCAACAACACGTCAGCTAAATCAATGGCCTGATCAATATGATGAGAAACTAAAGGTCGATAATCTTGCTTAGTAGCGTGACGAATGTTTTCCACGCGAAGTAAACTTATTTGCGCAGACACGAATTTCTCACCATAATCATTTATTATATCACAAATCGCAATTTCTTACTACTGTGTAAACGAGTTAGCACAGTTCGAAAACGTGTGAATACAAACGCGAGAAAGCGGTGATCCAGTGCCGGACACGTAACAACAAATTGCTGTAATGGCCAGTTAGCCTGGACCCGTTCGGTCCAAAATTTTGCCGCGCATTTTTGACATGTAGATTTTTTCTTTTTTTCTGTGCGGCCTTACTTTGTGCACCTTCTTGGGTCAGGTAGACTACTTTAAATAGGACGTGTTTTGTTTTTATTTTTTGCACCAATNTTACCAATTTTAAACTTGGCATTATAAGTGCTTTTAGGTTCGAAATTCGAAATCAAAACTTGTTTGTCATTTGTTTACTATCAACTGGAAATCGTAAGTTTGTGGCATGTTGACCATTTAAATTAAGACAGAGTAACAAATTATTATAACCAGTTTGGGGAAAAAGTAGCTCCCGATCATAAAATGTATCTACATACCTATAATTTTTTTTACCTTTCTACCTTGAAAGTTCAATAAACTCAATGAACTCATTTTGAATTCAAAAATTCTGTTGACCAAGTAAAAGTGTAAATAACGCTTAAATAAGCTCACATTCTTTAATTTCGAACGACCGGCCTACGTAAGAGTTTACTCTGTAACCTGAACTCAAGTTCGTCGTGGACTACATAACCTATTCCCACACTTTCATTCTTACTTTGACAGTTTGTGACAATTATTTTGTGCCTCGAATGAAAAATTGCGACGGAAATGGGATACAATGTTTCTTTAACACAACAAAAACTATTTGTCTGTTTGGTTGTCACGCCTACCACTGAATAACTAATAGGAATAATAAACGCTCAATCGATTTTGATGAATGTACAACTTAAGTAGAGATTGCTTGAGAGACGCGCGATAATTAATTCTCTGCCAGATCGAATTAAGAAGACGAAGCCACGAACAAACGCTAGACTTATAAAAACTGATTGAACAAACATTTACAATTTTTATTGCCTTTTGTGTTTTGTGCAATAAAATTTAAAATAGCTAGGTATTAGAAAATAAGCACCTCTAACGCTAGCGGACAAACACTCTTTTGTCAAATATTTTTTTTATAATAAAATACAATAGTGAAGCAAACTTAAACAGCCATAAAGTTACCTTATATAGTATTTTTTATGAAATCACGAGTCAAGCATTTCATTAACACTATGTGAGCGCCTTGACATCGTTCCAAAGGTGAGGAAAGGAAAGATCCATGGCAAAGATAAAGCCACTTGCACACTTTGTTAGGAAAAATCTGTGCTATTTTTCAGTTACTGTAAAATGTTGAATTAAATAGCTGAATTTTTTTTTATATGTAGGCTCACATTATTAATACAGGGTCAAAACTAGATTTAATGATATTGGTTAAATTTCATTAGAATTATGTATTATTTTGAACGAAGTTCAGTACATTATTATTTTGTATCACATACGTGACACACATGAAAGCAGTTATTTGAATTTGAAACAATCCTCCACAAAAATAACCATTGGTTAAAAATAGGTCAAAACGGAAATAATTATTGCACTCTTTCCTAATACCTGACCTAGGTATCCTACTTTTCAAAAAACATAGTGTCTTGGTTACATTAATTAAGTTATAACAGTGTTGCTTAATCATGATCAAGAAAGTGATAAATTATAATCATTCGTGATTACGTCTGTTGACGGTTGCATAAATGCTGTATCTAATTTAATCGATAAATATATCTATGCTTGATCAAGTAACTATGTAGTTTTGTCACTGCCTTCATGTTACATTGCAAACAATGTGAACAATAATATAAATATTTATTTAGTGATATTCATAAAAAGTGCGCTAAACCTTTTTCTTTTGTTTCTTTCGTGTTCTGTTATTGTAGATGCGTCATTGTTTTTTGTCTGTGAATTTTAATTGTTACCTTTTTTGTCTTAAACAAAATACTGGCCAGCAATAGGTTCTATAACAGTGTGAGCGCGCCTTCATAGATAGAGCAAGAATGTATAATAACACTAGATTCGCATTCAGACTTAACAATATTCAATTGATTCGTCAGTCAATCATTAATATTCGTTAACAGATGGCGTTTAGCAGGTGAAGGTTTCGACTAAGAATTCGATTATTATGTGGGTAGGTGTTATGTACGCCAACATGGTAAATAGTACTGATGCAGAAACGCCCAGTCATTGCTGTGATTATAACAATGGATTGGTCGCCTTGGATTCTGATATTATGGTAATTTTCTCTTATTAGATGTTTCAATACAGTTGTACAGTTTACAAGATTCTTGTTTTGTTTAATATTTATTGCAACGTAAAAATACAATATGAAGATAGAAAAAATATAGACTTCTCTGTTACAAAAAAGAGTGCTACTCATTTAATAAAACTTTTTATTTATTAAAGAATAATGTTCTGCGTATCACTTATCACTAAATAAAACTACATCACAAGAAAAAAACAAAAAAGTTGGTTAGATACTTTTTTATGGTGCGCAAAAAAATTGAATTAACATGGGAAATATTGCTAAAACAGAGTCCCTGTTATAAGCTCTGTAAAGCTTGAGCTTTGTATTGAAAATATTAACAGCAAACCACCTACCACAATATATCTCGAAACAATTTAACTACGAGTAATTAACTACCCGTAAAAATTCCGCGTCTACACTCAGGTGTAATCCGAGCTGTTATCAGATCGCTGATAACGCTGGCGAGATTACGCGCGTGCTTGGCGCAACTACGTTTGGTCAATACAATGCATGGGAGATTGTACAGTTAAAAGCATAATATCAAATCAACCTGCTATAGAAAAAGTTTTTCTATTTGTTTTTGCAACATATTTGCAACATACAGGGTGGAAACGATAAGTGATCTCACCCGATTATTTCTAAACTATACAAGATATCGAAAAACTGGTTACTCTTCCTGAAATTGCTTCACGAGCTCTATCAAACGGTGCTAATAATAGGTTTCAGAATAAACTGGAACTATCCGAAAATTCAATGTTTCCAGCTTCCATACATTTGGTAAAGTTACATAATTTTAAAAACTAAACAAGATATCGTAAAACTGGTTACTGATCCTAAAAGTGCTTCACAAGCTCTATCCAACGATATCAATATCAAGTTACAGAATAAACTGGATCAATCCTAAAATTCAATGTTTCCGTCTTCCATACATTTAGTACTATCACAGTCATTGCACTCATCTTTTGATAATTTTATAGCAAGTAAAGCCTAAAACTAATGTTTTTCACAAATAATTTTAAATAAGATGCAAGTTACGAGTTAATTTAACCGACTTTTCAAGTTTAATTATTACCAAAAAATAAATTACACTTCTAATAATATGTCGTCGGCAAACATTTAGTATGGAAGCTGGAAACATTGAATTTTAGGATAGTTCCAGTTTATTCTGTAACCTATTATTGGTACCATTTGAAAGAGCTTGTGAAACACTTTCAGGATGAGTAACCAGTTTTTCGATATCTTGTATAGTTTAGAAATAATCGAGTGAGATCACTTATCGTTTCCTCCCTGTATAAAAATGTAGAGTTATAATCAGTTGGGAAGATTCTTCAGAATGTGGCAGAGTTACTTTAAAATAAAACTTGTAAGTAGGGTTTCTGCTCGAGCTTTCTCGAACTCGAGAAAACTCGAGAAATTTGGCTTCATTCGAGACGAGAAAAAAATTACCGGAGCTCGAGAATCCTCGAGTTTCGAATTTGAAGATTTAATATTCTTAAAAGCCTATTTTCTTAGACAAAAGTAAGTTTTTAATTATTTAATAG